ACATTATTAAAGGGGAGAGAACAATAAAAGAATAATAAATGAACAGGAATTAAGAAAACAGAAAATAACGATTGACATTACATGATAATATTTGGTAATCCGTAGGATAATTCCAAACGGATATAGATCCAGGGATAGGTCAATGCCCTAAAACAGCAATAATAATAATTATTATAAAGAAAACTCTTAAAAGACCATGATGATATTTATTTCGTTAAGATCTAGAGATCTCAACTCTTCAGATCGACTCCAAGGAGTCGATCTGAAGAGTTGAGATCTCTCGATCTTATTTGTTTCGTAAAATTATATTAGTAAAACAAGTTTTAAATGAACACTGTTTTCATCTGTAAATAAAACTTCATATCCCACAATTTCTTGACGACATCAGTAGAGTAATTTAAACATAATTTATTAACCTTTATTAGCCTGACGTGCTGTGCCAGTTTAGGTACAGAGGAGCATCTGGTTAGCGTGGTCGATTTTACTGCTTTTAAACTACAATTTTCCATGATTTCCTTCGAACGTTCATATCTGTTCGAAGCGTATCTAAACGTAAACATATGACGTCACACACAGCGAAATATACTTCGAGCAGATATGAACGTTCAAGGAAATCATGGAAAATTGTAGTTTAAAGCAGTAAAATCGAGCTTGCTAACCAGACGTTACTCTGTAGCTAAACTGGTATATCACGTCGCGCTATATAACAGTTCCGTGTAGGATACAGGTTCGATTCCTATCGGAGAACGCATATTTCCTATGAAAATTTCTCAGATTATTCAGGCAAATGGTGTTAATACCGCTTATTATAAACAGAGCATTTACTTAAATATTTATGTCTATATAAATAACGTATAACAATAAAATATATTAAAAATAGTTTATTAAGTAATAGTTATTTTTTTTAGTTTTAACTCCGAAATTAAGATACATTCATTTTAAATATCAACTGTGTATAATAAAAGAATATATATATATATATATTTATATTGATGCAATAAAATATTTTCAACAAAGGAAATACAAACAATAGATATTAATAAACTAAGAAGTTTTTAAAAAAAAAAACTGTTAAACATGATTTTTTCTTTAAAAAAAACTTTTACTATTTTTTTTTTTTTAGTTGTTAAAAAAAAATTTGATTTCCTCTTAATATTTTATAAAACTTCCCTTTTTGCTACTATTTTTTAGTTTTTATAAAATTTTCTTTAGGTAATCTTCTTTTTTGGTTTTTTTTTTAGTTCAAGTCATACCATCGGGGCAATAAACTTCTCTTTTTTGTACTATTTTTTTTTTAGTTTCATACCCTCAATAAATATTTTTTATAAAATCTTCTTTTGGTACTTTTTTTTTTTAGTTCAAGTCATACCATCGGGGCAATAAATTTGATTTCCCTCTTAATATTTTATAAAACTTTTTTGGTACTTTTTGGTAAAACTTCTCTTTTGGTACTATTTTTTTTTAGTTCAAGTCATACCCTCGGGACAATAAATTTGATTTCCCTCTTAATATTTCGATAAATCTTCTTTTTTTGGTACTATTTTTTTTAGTTCAAGTCATACCATTGGGGCAATAAATTTGATTTCCCTCTTAATATTTTATAAAACTTCTCTTTTTGGTACTATTTTTTTTTTTTTAGTTCAAGTCATACCATCGAGGCAATAAATTTGATTTCCCTCTTAATATTTTGATAAATCTTCTCTTTTTGGTACTATTTTTTTTTAGTTCAAGTCATACCATCGAAAGAAATTCCCCCCCACCCCAAATAAAATGAAATAAAAAAATAAAAAACGAAAGAAAAAGAAAAAAATGCCATACCTAAGTTTTAAGATGCATTTTGAAAATGAGCAATCTTTCTTCAAGCTTTTATTTTAATTTTAATTACAAAGTAATAGATTAAATTTAATATTTTCAAAAAACAAAATACTCTGCTGTATTTGAAACCGAATTAAAATTGATTGGAACGAGTTGTTTAAACACTAAAGTCGGCCATATTGACAAATCTGTCAACGCAACATAATTTTTTTATGAAAAAATCTTTCAAAAATAAAATATACTTTTCTGAAACTTTATTTTTAGGAATATTAACTGATCTAAAATTTAATTAGTTTGAATTAAAACAAATATTACTTACTTTTAGTTTAAAATATTGCAGAAAAGCATTTTTTAACGCAGAGTATTGTATTTTCATAAGGTGTTGACACATTTATCGATAACCTGATGTTTATGAGATCTATGTAAAGGGATGGTGAATACTCGTAGTAAAATTACATGACGAATACAACGTAAACGCTTTTTTTTAGATATTTTTTAACTACCCAGTATCAATGTGCTTTTCGCCGCAACGCTTAAATTTCCCATACTAATTTATGATTCCCCGTTGACGCCAGAGAAACAAGATTTTTAACCAACATTTCGAAGGTTCTAAAAAAATTTAAAATAATTTTAAAATAAAAATACTTTTGTTTTGGGGATATTTTCATTAATAACAATAACAAAGATTTTGCCGAGAAATCTTTGTTTTTATTAAATTTGGGGTATTTTTTCATCATGTATGCTCATCTTTTAGTGAATCTTTGGAGGTGCCTACATTAAAGGCTGGCGTTCATAGAATCGTGACATCACTAAACAAACTTCCTTGATTAATTTAATTTTAATTTACGAAACAAACAAAATGGTAAATGCATCACCGAACACTATCAATTCATTGGTACAAATTAAATAAAAATATCACTTATTTTATTTTTAAAAATTGCTTATAAATTTCTATCGTATAACTTTGTATGGTTTTAGCTCGTTACAACCATACAACCATACTTTAGCCCGAAAACTTTTTGTCACATATTCTATAATATAAATATATGTCTTTCTTCAGATAGAATGAACATATCTACCACGAATTCTGTCTCTGGATATATGCCAGAATAATTTGTATAATCTCTTTTCAGTTGGAGATTAAATGAAAATTGTTCAATCTCTGATGAAGCCAATGACTTAAGTAAGGTACGATGATTTTGATTAACAATTTTCTTGTTTTCTGTATTTAAACAATCTATGCAAAAGTTAAATTTTTTCTCCATATATGATTGTTTTTAAAGAAAACAGAACTATCAATTAGTAAATATTACTTGTAAAGAAATGAAAAATAAAGCTATCACATTAAGTCATATAAGAGTGTCATAGATATGCCAGATTGTAGTGGCTGTTACAGAAAACCATAAGGTGAAAAAAAAAAAAAAGAAAAAGAATGGTAAATAGTACACTTGGAGAAAATAGATGCAAGATTAGAGAAATTGGTGATTCAATGAACGATTGAGATTGCTTAGATCATGTTAATGCTGGGGACTGTTATAATGTTAAAAAATTGCTGTCACCTCCAAGGAACAACTACTAACTATCTGGTGGGAACATACGAATTATTATTATCATTATTATTATTATTAATAATAATAATAATAATAATAATAATAAAATTACAGCAACAACAACAACAACAATAATAATAATAACAATAATATTAAATCGTAATGAACACTCTAAATAGTATCTGTCTATATTTCTGAGATGAGGTATTATGTACACTATTTACATTATTCGGACTATTGTCTTCATCTTTGTCGCCATATTTATTACAACGTTTCAGCCGTTGTACACTCCGGCCTTCTTCAATATCTGTCTATATTTCTGAGATGAGGTATTATGTACACTATTTACATTATTCGGACTATTGTCTTCATCTTTGTCGCCATATTTATTACAACGTTTCAGCCGTTGTACGCTCTTGCCTTCTTCAGGTGGTTGGAATGTCGAACTGAACCCTTTATTTTGCTCACTGATTCAGTGACAGGACCCAAAGAATGTGAGTTCAATACCCGGTTAAGGCGGTGGAGAATTTGGAGAGGGGAATTAAACAGGAGATAACTGATAACTGGCATCCATTAGACATGGCGCGTGGAACTAGAACAGTCTACCCCAGTAAGCGAAATAAAGGGTTCAGTTCGACATTCCAACTACCTGAAGAAGGACGGAGCGTACAACGGCCGAAACGCTGTAATAAATATGGCGACAAAGATGAGGACAATGGTCCAAATAATGTAAATAGTGAACAATCTAAATGTATTTACTAACAGTAATATTGGATTGCAGGAATTTGTTTTAGTCAAAAATTTGGAATGATTGGAATTCGGAATCAAGACATGTAGCAGTTTTCATGATTCACAGAGACCAGGATGAACAGAAGTAATACGACTACCTAACAATGAATTCATTAGAATATTAAACGGAAAAGAACAGTGCAAATATCTTGGAATAGTGGAAGCATTAAAGTGAAAGAAATGAAAAAAATAAAAAAAAAATAAAGCAAGAATATTTCAGAACAGAGGAGTTTTTGAGAAATGAATCTGAACAGTAGAAATCTTATAAAAAAAAAACGGCAATAAACCGAGATCTTTGAAACGAGGAAATTGATAACGATGAAGTCTTAAAAACAGAAATGACGTTGTGAAACTTTATGCAAAAAGAGGGAGAAGGTGAACTCGTTAAAGATTGTGTAAACTGGTCTCTCAAAGGACTTGGACGCTGCACAAAAGTTATAATGAGAGATAACCATAATTTGTAATTGAACAAATTTTGGATCAGAAAAAAAACAAAAAAACAAAAAGCCCAAAATGGGAACAACTCCAGAGAGATTTTAAGAGATAAACAAAACAATTAAAAAGTGTCTTCTGTGCAATTATATGGATAGAATTGCACAAAAGACTCTTGAAAAGAGAAACAGAATTAGTATTAATAGCAGTCTAGAATAAGTAGGCATGTATTAGAATAAACTATATTAGATCTAAAATAGACAAAGCAACAGAATAATTAGAGGCAAAACAGCTAACCATTTAAGCGAGAGAAGGAAATTAGTTCAGAAATAATATAAAGGTAAATATGACTGGGTAGGAAAGAATGATTCACTGAGAATTATGCAAAGGACTGGAAGTTGACCATTCACTAACCTCTATAAGGAATATATAAAATATTGTGCGCATTTGAAATGCAAACTGATCGCTCAATCCAGTCGCAGTAAGCAAAATAACCATGAAGAAAAGAAAAGATCAGAGAGAGAGAGAGAGAGAGAGAGAGAGAGAGAGAGAGAGAGAGAGAGAGAGAGAGAGAGAGAGAGAGAATGACAGTGAAAGAGGGTGAAAAGCTGGGAAAAGATCACTACTAAGATAAAGAATTGTAAATCTTATAGAATATAAAGATGTTAAATAAAATCGAACATTATTGGCACATTTTGAAAAGATTAGATAAATTGGAAATCCAAGAAAGAATTGAAATAATCCAGACAGGAGATTAGTAGAATCACCGAGGAAACTGAAAAGATTGATGGAGTAATGCAGGGACTTCAATGATCTCTGGTGAAAGCCACCATAATATACAACTGTTGGGAATGTGACATACTTAGTTTCTGTTCGATTAATTAAGATACCCAAGTAGTGAAATATTCGGACTGCTTCCTAGATAAGGACAATCACAGAGTAAAATGGTTAGAGTAAGAAGAGACGTATAATTAGATTAAGGCCGAGGTAAACGCAGTTCTCGCTGACCGAAGGGAAGATCTGGTCCGTTAATCTGTCGTGAGAGAAGACACAAGTAGCAACGAAGATGTCCCGTGTCACTAAAGGACGTAGAACAAAAGATATCATGAAGGAAGCGTAATGGACCATCAATGGCTACTGTTGATTTAAAGAATTTGATAATATGCATATGGCGGGATAGAAAAATTCATTCGGGAAACACAAACGACTATGGCAGCAATCGATGAAAAGCGTCCGGAATTATTTGACAGAAACGACGTAATATTCCATGAGGATAAACCCAGGTCATAAGTTACTTTAGTGACCAGGTAAAAATTATTACAGATTGGTTGAGAGGCTTTTACTAGTCTGCCGTATTCAGTAGATACTGTCTCTTCGGAATAGCATTTATTCCGGTTCTTATAAAACAGAACAGTCTGAATGAAAAAAAAAAAAAAAAAAAAAAAAAAAAAGAAAAAGAAAAAAAAAGGTTAATACTCCGGAAAATTGCAAAAAGTACCGGGAACAGTTCTTTGCTGAGAAAGATAAAAAGTTCTGGAAGTATAGAATTATGAGGTTACTTGAAAGATGGCAAAATACAGTGAAACAAAATGCTAAATATATTTTACATCTTAAATATATTCGATAAAGAAAATAAAAAAAACATTTTTTTTTATTTCCCCTTAATTGGTCAAGTGAACATTTTGGCCAAGGTAATATATTATTCGAAATCACCCAATTTTTTATTGTATATTATAAATACTAAATTAAAGCGACTGAAATGAAATGTAGTCACTCTATTGATTTTATTTGTTATGTATTAGGTTGGTGCAAAAATAATGACGTAATAATGTCGTTTTTTAACGTATTTTTAACGTCAAAAACGACATTATTACGTCATTATTTTTGCACCAACCTAATAGAAACTAAAGCTAGTATTCAAATATATCATGTCCAAAGTGTTTTCGAAAATAACTGTTAGTAAGACGTAGCGTAAGCGTCTAAACTTAAAACATTGTATAAAAGCATCATTGAAAGAGGAGACAGAAATGCAAAGGAATGGAGACAAGTAAAGAAAGTTGGTTCACTGATTAGAGATTCTGAAGACATCATGAGAATGAAACAGTAATCGCCAGTATGGAAAAACTTGATAAACTATGGATAAGAGGAGACAGAATATCCGAGATCAGAAGATTAAAGATGTATAAGACCTTGGTGAAACCAGTTTTAACCTACAACTGTAGAACTTGAGGCCTTAAAAAGAAAGAAGAGCAGGAGCTAAATAGTTTCCATAGACGACAACTGCGAATTCTGATAGGGTAAAAAGTACCCTCATAATATCTCCAACAAGAACTTGTACAGCAGATGTCAAGAATCTCATTTGTCTTTGTTCATTTTGAAAGCAAGATGGAAACTTCTTGGACATATTTTGCGAATGGATCCACAATGCCCAGCTAACAAAGCCATGGAGTTTTACTTTGAAGACTAACTTCAAAAAGTTCAGAGGTCATCCAAGAACCACCATAGTCACAACGCTGAAAGAACAAGACAGAAAGATCCCATTTTTCCTTTGGAGAAGTTTACAATCAAAGAAGATTTGCAATGAATCCGCAAACTCGCAGAAGAAGGCTGGTAAAATATTGTCAAATCAGTACACAATGTCACTGAAGATAAGAGAACATTTTAATTCATGACCTCAAATAAAAACAGTTTTGATGATGATAATGATGATAAAATCTCTTTCATTTAATTGTTCCATATTCTGTGCATATTTCAACATTTTTCAGAGAGAATATTCTCGAAAAATTGATTTGTAAAATTATTGGAAATTTATACATATTTTAATTTTGTAGCATACTGAGATTTTAAAAAATTCATTTCGGACATAATTAAAATATTTATTCTGTTCCAATTATTAAGAACTGTAGCTTAAAATCGAAATTTAAAATAAAAATCAAATTTTTAAAGCTAACAATTTTAAATTCACCTATCTTTTTATTTTTTTTTTTTTTTTTTTAAATCTGGCCATTGAATCTTTCTCCTTTAATAAAAGCTACATTTTAATGAGGTCATTATATTGACTAAGTTAGGAGAGATCATCATCATCATCATCATCATCATCATCATCATCAGTCCCTTGACCGCTTCAATCGTCGGGGTGGGGACCTAAGGACAGAAGAAACAGATAACCTCCTCCAGGATGATCTGTTGGCGGTTGCACTCAGGAGTTCTGTCATGTCCGTCCACTCTTTGATGTTGTTTGATCAGCTCTTGCGTTGCCCCCCCCTCTCCGCTTGCGTCCGCCTGCAGCAGTACCTTGCACGATGGCCTTGCACAGGCTGTTATGCTGTGTGACTTGGCCAAAGCATGCCATCTTCCGGCGCTTAATAGTGGCGAGGAGAGATTCCTGTTGGCCCAGAGACTTTTCACCTTGCTCCGTACATGGTCATTGGTTTTATGTTCCCAGTAGGGGATGCGGATGTGCTTTCTCAAGCCTTTGTTCTCGATTGCCTGGATCCTTTTTCACCCGTAGAGGGAGATGGATGCGACCAGCGATTTGCAGTTTGAACCTGGTATGGAAGAATATTGTGGTCATATATAAATTCACATATACATGTGCAGACCCTCCTCGAAATCAAATAAATTTATTTGCAGACTGGCAGATTGTGAGGTCAATGTTTGCCTAATCACTTGACGTTGGAGTAGGCAAGTTTGTCTCTCTAAAAGAATGAATACCAATTAGGTTGTTCCTTTATCCAAATGTCATCAATTACGCGCAAATACAGATTGTGCACACCTTCTAGGAAGTTGAATAAGAGGTATTCTTTATTGTTGTTTAATTAGCAGCAGGTTTATTTTTTACTTTTCAGTTTTAATCAAATACGGAATAAAATAAATGATATAATTTAAAAGAGAGAATGTATGACGATGTGTTGATGTTTTCATATGCAGAAGAGATTTTGAAGTCCACGCTTTTGTAACTTATCATTTAAGCGCAAAATACTTGATATAAAATCCAGTTTTAAATAGATGCTTGCGTGGCCTCTGGATTTCAGCAGGGTTAGTAGATTGAAGTTATAGTTATCAATAACAACTCCTGATGCAGGACTTCACAAAATGCATTTAGCTACTTCAACATTGAAAGGATGGGACCTAGATGCTAATCTGCATATATATATATATATATATATATATATATATATATATATGGGCCTAACAATAACAATAAAATTCCTTTTCTTGATATATTAATAGGCACCAATAATAATATACTTACGACCTCCCCATATAGAAAACTAACTAGCCTATACGCGTGCACTCTTAACTATAAAAGTGAATGCCCTATTACAAAACAGCTGTTATACAAAATTTTATAAATCGGGCAAAAATTAACTCTTCCACGGAAAAAAATTCTACATTGAATTAAAAAAACATTAAACAAACTCTCATTAATAATGACTTCCCTAACTACATTGTTGATGAACAAATTAGACGAACTATTAGAAATATTACCATAAATGAAAAAGAACTTAATACTTCCTCAGATAACCCTAAACATATCAACCGCAATCAAATACATTCTAATTACTAACAAGATGAAAAATCCTAAAAAACTCATAAGTACTAATATGTTCTTCACTGATCCCAGTAAAAAAATAAAATTAATTATATACTATACTAAAATTAATACAACCAACTTTAAAATACTTAAATTGTAATTTTACAAAAATTGAATAATATAAATTAGGTTACCTTCCTTGGAAAACATAATATCCTTAACAGTTAATTTTTAAACTGAGCGCGTTCATACGTGTTCATAATTATAACAGCGCGTTTCATGCGCATTTACAAAAAAATCGTAACTATCAATTACATTAATTTTTTATCTTGGCAATTCAACCCTGAAGATGATCTTGGATGAGATTAAAGTACTTAGGAAAGTAAAAGAAATGCCAAAACTACGGCGCCTTCCTTAAAGAATTTGATAACAACATTAAGAAATTGATCCGTTCTTCCTCTTCCTCTCATTTCATGAGCATATATATATATATATATATATATATATATATATATATATATATATATATATGTATGTATATTATAATTTTTTTTATTATAATTACTTTTTTTAAAGATATGTATCCATTGCGATACAAAAATTACTATGTTTCGAAACCGAAACCTAAATTTTGAAGTTTGGTTCCATTTTCAAGAGATGTTGAGAATAACCTTCGAAATAATTGATTTACTCTATGTATAAGTTAAACAGTACTATATATTTTAAGTTGATTGGGTAATGAGACTTCGGAATTTTTTATTTTTTTTATTAAGGGGTGTTGGCCTTTTGACGAATGAAGAAAGCAAGTGTATTTTTTGTGGCAGATTTAAAGTCGGTTATGGTTGGGTGGGGGTTTAAGATTTCTGTTTCTTTATACTGACTTCCTTTCAAACTGTCGTTTCATCCCTGTCTGTTTGTGTTTTTTTTTAAATTTAATATTTGTGTTTTTTTTTAAAATTTAATTTAAAAAAAAAAATTATTCAGGGTTACATTACAATGCATTTGGCATTTTTATTTATTTATTTATTTATTCTCTTCTTTTCTAAAACCACACACACACACACGCAAGCGCGCGCACACACACATAAATTGGAAAAAAGAGACATTTGAACTATTTGTACATACTGAAATTTTATGTCATGGGTGTTTTTAGGTTCCCTGTGAATTTGTGGCATTGTGGTATATGTAGTATTGAATGGTAAGGGATGAGTTTTTGTGATGAATGAGTAAATTGTAATGAATGAATGGATCATGAATCAGATTAGATAGGTTTAAATGTAAATTCTTGAATACTTATGTAGAAAATATAATCGATATACATTATTCGGACTACTGTCCTCATATTCATTACAACGTTTCCGGCCTTCTTCAGGTGGTTGGAATGTCGAACTGAACCCTTTATTTCGCTCTAGTTTCAGGTGCCATGTTTAATGGACGTCAGTTGCTGTCAATATCCCTCTAAGTACCTTAGCTGGGTATTGAACACACAGTCTTTGGGTCCCGTCACTCGATCTAACTAACGCCTTTATCCACTGTGCCATGTTGAAGACATCTGCGTATGAATTTCTGGATATTATAAACCTAATGTCTTCAGGAATCATTTTTTACCAGTGCTCATATTGCAATTTTTG